ACCGAGAGGTATATATATATATATATATATATATATATACGCTGATTTATGTGTATACGTCTGTATGCATGTCCGTAATTTTATGTGACTGCGTATGGGGCGTGGAGGGAAACTAAGCAACGTCCCTCGTTTGTTACCATCGCCATTCGTTGGGTCGTTTATTTGTATGTTCCGCTGCTAGAGGGGAAGAATAAATCCAGGAGGACGGGAAGGGGGGAAGGACGTAACAGAATCTGTTTGTGTGGTCAAGCTTTGTTTTTCTTCTTATCTCCCTGCTTCCTTCGTTCTCTGTCAGTGGGTATTGAACTCCACACGCCTTTCAACTGCCGTTTTGTGGTGCTACACGTCTGCTGCCGATTCCATCTGTTTGCTTCTCGCCGTGTGTGTGTGTGTAGAGGGAGAGGAGAGAAGGAGGGGCAGGTCTCTGCTTTGTTGCCCAACGAGAGAGAGGTGAAGCAATACAAAAGAAAGAAAGGTGTCGCTGCCTTTGCTGGACGCAGTCAAATGTCAGCAGCGGGGTCGCGTGAGGAGATGTTGGAAGCGCTGCGGAAGGCGAAGCAGGCGATGGCGCGTCGCGTTCCTGCGGGGCCACGACAAGAGGAGACACCCGCAGCGGGCGGCACACTGCAGCTGCAGGATGCAGAGGCGCCCCTGATGCGGCCGCGGCCGCAGGTCCACTCCGAGGCGAAGGACAACCGGAGTCACTTCTTCGACACGTGGTGCCGAAAGATTGAGATGTTCGTCGCAGACCCCACAAAGACGATACTGGAGCTACCGAAGGATTTGGCGCCGAACGACCGCCGCGAGCTTCACAGCCTGGCTGAGAAGTACAACCTTAGCCACCAGTCCCGCGGCACAGGGGCCACGCGGCGCCTGGTGCTGAAGAAGGACGCTCTCCACTACAGAATGCCCGACACCCGCCCGGAGGACATTGAGGCAATTAAGCAGAATGCCGGGAGTAAGCAGTCCAAGTTCCACCTGCGTCGTGCCGTGCAAGACGCAGATGTGGCAGTGGGGTCTATTGGGGCGTTTGCAGACGAGGCAACGGAAAACATGGTCCGCCGCCTGGATCGTGCGACAGATGAGTATCGCAAGGCGGTGGAAGTGGGCTATTCGCAAGAGGAGCTGCTTGCATTAGAGGCAGGAAAAAGTGTGGAGGATATTTTGCGATCTGGTGACGTGATGGAACCGTTGCATGCATCTGCTGTTGCTCAGCTCAGTGGCTTTGGTGGTTTTGTTCCGCCTGCGTCAACGCCCGCTGGCGACGAGGCCACACCTGCCGCCCCACTTGACGGCAGGAAAAACAAGTTGTACGACGAGATTTGTCTTCGCTGCGGGGTCCGGGCACGTGTGGACTACGATGTTCAGAAGTGGGAGTGCAACGGGTACTGTGCCCAGTGTGCCACGGAGACTATATGGAAGCTGGTGGAGCTGGAGGGTGCCACGGAGGAGCTCGTCTACGCCTCCGCAGTCGTGGACCGAAAGCGCAGCCATGCAGAGCCGGGGATGGGGGCATCGCCGGTGAGGCAAGAACCGGAGGAGATTGATAAGGACAACGACGAGGATGACACCATCACCGTAGAGGATGTGGTGGATATGGCAAGTATGAATGACTTTTGTGCTGCAGATATCAACTGGATTCGTCGATTTGCGAGGCATCATCAGTCGCGGGGCAGCGGGAGTGTTCTCAGCAGGCACATTGTGTTTTGCATTGAGTTTGAAGATCTCTTTAGCATGCGCATTTTCCGTGACTTCCTCACATCTGGGCACACTGAACCTGCTGTGAGGGAGCGAAAGCGCCCGAAAGTTGAACCCAATGCGGATGCTCAAGAGGGTACAAGCCAAGGTGGGTGGTTTCTGCGTCTTTGTGAAGTCAAGGAGTCTGGGGTGCCTTTGTCTACACTTCTGGAGGAACTCAGCTCCTGCATCCCTGAGCGGTACGATCATCTTGCCGTTGCCTTTCCAAACATGTCAGTGTATGGGGCCGTGACTACGTGTGTCTGCCATATTCAGTCGGATGCCGTGCAAGAAAGCACCTTAGAACCTCTAGAGAGGAAGTATGGGAAGAACTGTGTCCGGTTCGCACGAGAGCTTTCTGCCGTTCTCGCTAACGACGGGGGCTCTGCATGAAGGTGATAAAATTGTACATAAACTTATAAACGTATTTCATTGTTGGCCTTTGATTGCCTACTCCATCTTTCTTTTGTATTGTGTTGGTGTTTGCTTGTTGCTCGCTCCTTCTGCCGCATTTTTTGTTCTCTTTCTTCGCTTTCTTGGCGATTCTCTTGCTGTTGCAACTACATTAGTGGCTGGCAAAGTCGGTGCTGGTGAATCCGTTGCAGCGATGCGCCATGTTGCGAGTGCCATGACAGCAGTCAATTTTAAAGGTGTGACAAACACCATGACAGCACGCAGGAGTTGCGCCATGTCACCAGCTCGCTTCACGGCGGACATCTCAGACAGCAAACTTCACCGGCGCCAGACTGTTAATACAAAAGAGTCGGCATCAATGCTGCAAGAGTCTCACGTGGTGTCGCCTGAGGGAGCGGATGTGTTCGTTAATCCCTTTACGGGCCGTTTAACTCCGGCAAGCAGCCGTGTGGCGAAGGAGCTGCTGCGTGTGGGTTTTTTGCGGAGTGTGGTGAACCCGTTTCGCCTCACGTGGGATGCAGCAAAGTGGCGTACAGCGGGTGTTGCCGCGTTGAAGCCTTTTCAGGCACCAGTGGCTGCATGGCGGAAGAAATTGGCGGCGTTGCTGACCAGAGCGGACGCCGCTGACGCCGTGGCAGAGGAGGTCCAGCGGTTGTACAATGAACTCACAAGTGCGTATTTTCCGCCCAAGCTAGACACCACACACGACCCGCATCTCTCCTCAATGAACATGACACCCGACCAGGAAAACGCCATCCGCTGTGCCCTGCGTGGGTACAGCATGTTTATTGGTGGGGGTGCTGGGACAGGAAAGACTGTGCTTCTTAAGGCGATGCACCGCCGTCTGACAGAAATGGGTCTGCGTGTAGCAATGACAGCAACCACAGGCGTTGCTGCAGTGCAGCTTGGTGGGTGCACGTTTCACCTGGCCTTTGGGGTACCCATCGGTTCGGGAGAACATTCCAAGAAGCGGTGGGATGCCAATGCGCTCCGTGCGGTGGATGTTGTGATTGTGGATGAAGTCTCCTTGTTGGACGCGGAGCTCTTCAACGCCTTTGAGTTGGAGGCGCGCATGGCTCGACTTCAAGCGCTTCCGTTTGGCGGTCTGCAGGTGATCACCTGCGGTGACTTTTTACAACTCTCAGTCGCGGACAGCATGTTTAGTGGTCTGTGCTACCAGAGTGAGGCCTTCCGTCACCTTATTGCGGTGCGACTGGTGACGCAGATGCGTCAGGCGCAGAGTGATCCCCTGTACACGACGCTGGCACAGCTGCGTGTGGGGAAGTTTGACCGAAAGTCCTTTGCTCTGCTTGACCGAAACATACCAGAGGACAAGGACAACGTCACGTACATCTTTCCACGGCGTCGTGACGCACAGATACTAAATGACACAAAGTTGAGTGAACTGCAGAGTGAGGAGATGACGTTTACGCCGCAGCGTGGTCCGCTGAAGCTCATTGGGAGCTTTACCCCCGCTGGCTTCATTGAGTTTGCCAAGAAACAGACGCTCGTGAGCCGTGAGGAGGTGGTGCAGGTTTTGACAGAGGAGGTTAGAAGAGTCGCCGCGGTGGATATCGTGGACCACAACGTTGTGGTCATGCCAACTCGAATAGAGAAAAACGGTATGCTTATTCGTCTCCGCAACCCGGATGACATTGGGGCAGGAAGACCTAACGCTGCCGGTGGCGGCAACGAAAGCAGGAGCAGCGGCTGCAGGAGTGGGACTGCACACAGTCGTGGCGGCAGCACCGTCCCAGAGGACAGCTGGAAAACAATCTTGGAGGCCACCGCAACGCGTCTCAAGGCAACACTTCGAGGAGTATATGCAGAGGACATGCAAGAGTTTGTCCCTATCAGTCTCTCCATGATGCTTGCCGATGCCTCAAATCACCCAAACACCGAACACCTCATGCCATTGCGGCTAAAGTTGGGCTGCCGTGTTATGATCAATCGGAATCTCTCACGGACGGTTTCGAATGGTAGCGTTGGTGTGGTTGAGGCCTTTGCTGTACCCAACCCGGAGTTGTTTCCCCGGCGTCATGAGGCCCCGGTGAGGACAATTTATGGACGGCTGATTGAGAAGAACATGTTTTCAAAACTCCCTATTGTTCGCTTCTTGGACGGTGAGGTCGTGCAGGTGCCGCCCCTTTCTCTCATGGTGGGCGGCACACCCTCAACTTTCTTTTACGGTCATGAACTGTATCTGTTGCCGTTGCAGCTGGGCTACGGGTTTACGGTCCACAAGGTACAGGGGCTCACTCTGCAAGGGACTGTTGTACTGGACTGCAAGAACTTCTTTGCGTGTCCACATCTCATATACGTGGCTTGCTCTCGTGTGCGGTCTTTGGATCAACTCATTGTGAAAAACATAAAGGCAGACATGGTCATTGTGAAGCGGAGTGCGTTAGAGTTTTCGGAGCAACTACGAGATGCTACAGACATCACAAATTTGGTACCACCGGAGGGCTGCACTCAGGCGTCTTGGGTGGGCCGCCTGTCTCCATGTCTCATGGGTTTAAGTGAGTGACGTGGCAATACTGCAGCTGCGGGGGACGTTGCTTATTCTCTCTGTCTTTCTTTAAAAATTGTTTTTTTTTCCTTTTTTTTTCTTTTCCTCCTTTTTTTTTGTTTTTTGTTTTTCTCATCACAGTCATGTGTGCATGCAGCACCATCATTGTTATTGCATTGTCCCTGCTTTTTTTTTTTTAATGTTCTGATTAGGATCTGGCAACTGCATTTGTTGTTGCTTCCATCAGAGGCTCATTTGTCTGGGCTGCGCCCAACGGCCCTGCGGAGGTGCCCGATGGTGCTGCACCGGGCTTGTATGGCGATGTGCTAGCTGCGCTGTGTATTAAACTTCACTCACTCATTTTGTCCTTTCACCCCACGTTCTTTTTCTCATTTGTTTCTCCTTTCCGTTGTTCTTGTTGTGTGTCTCACTCCCTGTGAGCTTATTCCTGCAGAGAAGGAATCCTGTGCGAGGTGGCGCGGCGGCAAATGGTACAAAGTGTGGGCGTCTCGCGGGCCTACGCGGTCCTTCGGAAGCTTGAGCTGCTGCGCCAACTGGACGTGCTGGACCCGCTGCCGCCGGATACCGACACGGATACCGGCAGCACTGTGTCAGATGCCGCGCGGGGCAACTGTCGGCCGGCTCTTGCGTCGTCACCGTCAATGGCTGCCCGCCACGCTGCGGAGAAATGGCCTCGACAGGACACGTCTCCCATCACCGCTCCCCACACTGACAGCATCGGCCGGAAGCAGAAGACAGCAGACGCACTGTGGTGTGACGAGGCAGAGTCAACGGAGCTTCTGCGCCTGCAAGAGGAGATACCAACGCACTCCATCGATTCGCCAATTGTGAGTGACAGTTGCAGAGAACCACATATGGTGCAAGGGTACAGTTACATCACTACCGAGTCTGCGACGACAGGGAGGCGAATTTCGCAGCACCCCACGGTGAATGGAAGGAATCAGGCATTACAGCGTGTTCTACAAGAAATTGTGGCAATGCGGAAACAGGCCAGTGGGAAGGCAGGGAATTCTGGCCAGGGAGACGTTTATAAATGCCCACAGCAGCTGCCGTGCGAAGTGGCAGGTGGTGTCCCGTGTGCCTTAAGCGGCGGCATAAGGCGGGCGTTGCCGCGGTTAATGTCGCCGTCGCCGGACGTTGTTGAGGACGAGGACGTTTTCTTTGATGAGTTGCCTCTTTCACTTTCCACAGGGGCCCGCGGCACAAAGCGGCAGGAGGAGGGGCAACGCCCTGAACAGAGGAAGAGGGCTCTGACTCAGTACCAGCACGAATTTTCTCCTCCTGATGAAGAGGGTGCAAGTGACGATGTCTCGCGTACAAAGGCTACGGAGGAGCAAGCTTCCGCCGTGGTTCCACAGCGACACAGCCCAACGAGGAGGACAAAGGATGCGCCTACTTCCTCGGCCGTGAGTGAGTACACCAAGTCACTCCTGCGCCAGCGGCAGCAGTGTCAGGGCAAACCACAAGTTGAAATTCAACAACAACGGGGGGACCAACAAAGCAAGGCTGTTAAGCCACATACGCAATCCGAGCTGACACTTTCGACAACCTTTTTCTCACCCATCACCCGTGTTGCAAATCGTAACGAGGACCTCTCACCTCTCCCCAGTAGAGGTTTGGACTTTGAGAGCGTGCAGAGAGAGGTTTTGAATCCACCACTTGGTGCATACCTGCAAGAGATGACAATCATGGGTTCAGCCGAGATGCAAGAAAAGCTGCGTGGGATGGAGGGCTGTTGTGATGTGTCTGCAGTGCGATGTCGAGATTGGTTCGCACTCACAGCTCTTGCAAACGCGCATGGTGCTGTTCGCCACGTCATGCTCCCACTGCTTCTTGCAGAGTTGACAGAAAGAGCTGAATCGAAGGAAGAGGGCGACAGTGATGCCAATTCACGTATGTCGCATATTCTTTGCGCCTTGATTGGGTTTGGAGAGCTGGCAGTGAGTGCCCTTTCACTGCTGCTTGAAATGCTCACCAACACTCTCGGGTGTTCTAGACTTGTGGCTTTGGCGATACGGTCCGTGGGTGGCGATGAGGGTCTGCGTGCACTTTGTCGTGTGGCGCGTTGCGATCGCCTGGATTCAAGTGTCCGTGCGGCCGCCATTTACGGTATTAGTACGCTGGCATATCCTGTGCTGGGCCATACGACTGTTTACTGCGTGGGGACGCCTGGGTTGAGTGATGTGGCTGTCTTCTACCAGCCCCCGGTGCCTGCGAGTTACATAGAGGTGGGGAGCAATGGCGAGCGGCGCCGGGAACCGTCTTTGCAGTGTCCACCGCCGTATCGACCCACACACATCATACTGAGTGCTGAGCTGGTACGTAAGCAACTAATTCAGTTCACCGTGTCAAGGAATTTTAGACGTGCAACGAGTAGTTATGAAACCCTGCCACTTGTTCTGAACGATTTTGCCCATGATGCATCTGAAGCATGCCTGCAGCAAGGAATACCTGACGATGTGCAGGAGGCGCTGCGTCAGTGTGCGCTTGAGCTCGACGTGCCACATGCGTTACCCCGTGTACTGCCATTTTCGTACGATCCACATTATGTTGGTCGTGAGGAGGAACTCTTTTCCATTGAGGAGACCCTCATGACAATTCTCCACGATCGAGGAACACCGTTGGATGTGATAGAGCAGACACTCGTGTCCATTGCATCGCTTCCGGATTTCGCTACGACACACGCGGCGTCACCTGTCCTTGATTACGTTGTTCATTGTGTGTCACGCTTTGAACAGCGGGACGGGGATGCCTTATATGGAGAGGAGGGCGTTCTTGTGGCGGGACTTGTAGCACTGGGGCGCCTGCTGCGGAATGAGGGGACCCCACCCAGCGTGATTGATACTGCCTGCGTTGTGCTGCTGCATAACCTGTCCTCGCCGTCGTGTCGGCTGCGTCACGCTGCCTGCATTGGACTGGGCGAGGTGGGTTCTGTGTCGAATAAGCGAGGGGACATCGTCCGCGCGCTCACTGCATCCCTGAGTGATGCTACGATGAATCACGAGACTGTCGCATGGGCGCTCACCCGCCTGGGACTCCGCGGCGTGCGGGTGCTGTTAGACCGCATCGCTCCTCCTCTTAGTGCTGGTGCTGGCGGTGGTCGTAGCAGTAACGGTAGCAACAGGCCGGAAATCAACAATGACAATCGGCGTCACGCTGCGGAGGTACTCCCAATCTCGACACGCATAATGTGCGCGCGGGCGCTGGGTAAAGTTGAATTCTTGACAATTTCGCTTGGAATTCACGAGGACGCACGCCGATTGCAGGAGGAGTTGGTGCGAGGACTCGCTGCGATTATTGCCTCTGCCCAGCTGGAGGAGGATGTTGCGCTGGAGTGTGCCTATGCCCTTGGGGATGCGGTGGGCGTGGGCGTTGATGGCGGGACGCCAACGCCGTGCCGGGATGAGGAGGCGGCAAACTACTACCGCAGCGAGGCCCCGAATGAGGCCTTTGAGGTGTTGAAGGGGCTTATTGAGGCGGTCTTGCTTCCCCTTTCCGTGGAGAAGGCGCTGTTTTACGCACTTTGCCTCTACGGTGGGGCGCACGGTGAACTGTACGCTTCCCAAACGGCCATTCAAAGCTCTCTCGTGGTGCTGCGCGCTGCGGCGGCCTTTGCCTTGCGGGTATCTGGGGGCAAAGTCATCCGCACCGTTGTGATGGCTCTCAATGATGACGACGCCAGTGTACGGGTCGAGGCGTTTGACACGTTGGACGCCGTCGGCGTTGAGGCCGTCCTGGCGGTCCTGCGGATGCGGCCCCACAAACACACTCATCAGGTGATTGCGGCGCTGCGGGACTGTCTCCTGCGGGACATGGGACGCGAGACAAAGCGTCAGGCCGCCCAGGACCTTTATGCAGCGTTGGTGAGAGCTTGAGGCATGTCTTCATAGAGATGAGCACGACCTACACACACACACACACATACGCGAGGTACCATTTTAGTCATGTCCTTTTCTTACAAAGAGTGGTGTATGCATTGTACATTCTTTCTTCCCCTCCTTCCACCTTTCCTTCTTTTTTTCTTTTTCTTTGCACCTATTGATAGTAGCATACACGTCACGCATGTGTGTATTCGTACGTACTTTGCATCTCTCCCTTTCTCTTTGTGTGTATTTAGACGAATATAAGGTGTACTTTGTGTGTGTGACTTGTCATTTTATCGATGTGATGATGAGGATGTGTGCGTCTTACGCCTCGCGTTCACAGTGGCGTGTGCTCTTCATGAATGGTGGCGCAGACGTACTCACACAGTTGAATTGCGTGATTTCCCTGCTTGGCGTTGTATTTTTTTCGTCCCTTGGGTGAGAATACGGCTGTCGTTTTTCTTTTTGCCTTTTCGGGTCGCTTTGAAGAAAGGGAAGAGTCCGACCGAACACAGCAAGCATGGGCAAGATCCGCACCAAGACGGTGAAACGCGCATCGAAGCAGCTGGTGGAGAAGTACTTCACCAAGCTGAACAAGGACTTCTACCAGAACAAGCGCCTCGTCATGGACGTCACCATTGCCCGCTCCAAGAAGCTGAAGAACAAGATCGCCGGCTACGCGACGCACATCATGAAGCGCCTCGCCCGTGGCCCGGTCCGTGGTATCTCGCTGAAGCTGCAGGAGGAGGAGCGCGAGCGCCGCATGGACTACGTGCCGGAGGTGTCGCACGTCGACCAGGCCATTCAGGATGGCGTGCAGGTCGACAAGCAGACCCTCACCATGCTGAAGCGCATGGAGACCGGCGTGCCGCGCCACGTTGTGCTCGCCCACGCTGCGGCCCCCACCATCAAGAAGGGTGACCGCCGCCCGCCTTTCCGCAAGTAAGCAGGTGCGCCAGTGGGGGCG